CAAGTGAGTCTGAAAACTATCCCTTTCCCTGCAGACCTGGGTCGTTCCCAGGGTGGAAGACAGGCTACACAAATCAACTCCCATCTTGAACCGGTTGCGATTTAGAGGGAAGGGACTGCTAGAACTCCACTCTTCATTCCAGAACCAAAACAGCTCTTGAGGTAAGGAAGAGGTCTAGCATCCCTTCCCCTATGAAACCTACAGGTAGTTCTAGACTAAAGGGAGAATTTAAAAAAGATAACCTAGTGGATCTGAAAATTAATAATTTTAGACATGGTTGATTTTTTAGATGAATTAGATAAATATTGATACAGATTTAGTGAGCCACAGGCATTCTCCATTCTAAATTCACAGTGTTAAGCTCAAAATACACAGTGGTAGAAGTTTATAAGGATCCAAATATTTAGTTACATAATTCTTGTTATTGGTTTGAACAGTTTATAATGGTGACTTGATTAGAAGCTAAAATTTGCCCAGGTCAATCTTTGACATTTCAATGAGCTGCATATGTTAGTTGGAATTTATTAATGGTAATTCTTCTATTGGGTTCCAAATGAAATGATTCATGAATGTTGGAGCTGTAATTCATTATCTATGAATTCACCATTTGAAGTAACCTATGCTAAGTTTTTGAGGGTTGAATCTTTTATATTATAATGATAAATTACATCAAAAATTATTGGATGATTCACAGATCAGAATTTGAACTGGAAGTGAAAATAAGGCTTTGTTTATCTACAATGATTGATCATTTATCCGCCTCTTGGCATATATCTATACCTACACAAGTACAGCGGCGCAGCCGCCCTGATCTCTAGTTTAATGGTAAAGTCCATTTTGCATAAAAATGACTTTTGATTCTTAATTTTTTTTTTCCACTCATTTTTCAATTAATTGTTTGCATGCATGTATGTACTTTATTTTTTATGTTTTTTTGAGATTTTAAAATTATTTCCTAGGTTTTAAAACATGCAGAATTTAATGGCGCAATTCAAATTTTCTAAAACTCAACTCTTCACACTTGAAACATAACTTCATATCCCGCACTGGATGTGCAGTAAAAATAAAACCTGGATATGTAGTATTTTTAGGGCATTAATAAGAAAAAAACGGTTTTTCCGCGTTTACACGCGGTTTCTGCTGCGCGCAGCACATGTGGATTCCGCGTCTACACAAGGGTTTTTTAATTAATTGTTTACCGCTTATTTTTTTGA